GTTTGTTTTGGTACCAGTACCATGCTGTTTTGGTTTCTGTAGCCTTGTAGCATAGTTTGAAGTCAGGTAGTATGATGCCTCCAGCTTTGTTCTTTTTGCTTAGAATTGACTTGGCTATACAGGCTCTTTTTTGGTTCCCTGTGAAATTTAAAGTAGTTTTTTTCTAATTCCGTAAAAAAAGTCAATGATAGCTTGATGGGATAGCATTGAATCTATAAATTACTTTGGGCAATATGGCCATTTTTACAATATTAATTCCTCCTATCCATGAGAATGGAAAGGTTTTCCATTTGTATTCTCTCTTATTTACCTGAGCAGTAGTTTGTAGTTCTCCTTAAAGAGCTCCTTCACATCCTGTGTAAGTTGTATTCCTAGATATTTTATTCTCTTTGTAGCAATTGTGAATGCAAGTTCACTGAAGATTTGGCTCTCTATTATTGGTGTATACAAATGCTTGTGATTTTTGCACATTGATTTTGTATCCTGAAACACTGCTGAAGTTGCTTATAAGCTTAAGGAGATTTTGGGCTGAGATGATAAAGTTTTCTAAACACACAATCATGTCATGTGCAAACAGACACAATTTGACTTCCTCTTTTTTAAAAAAGAAATCTTGGGAAAAATCACAAATATGTGAAAATTAAAAACCTGTTCCTCAATTACCAACAGATACAAGATGAAATCAAAAAGAAAATCAAAAAGTATCTTGAGACAAATGAAAATGGAAACACAAAATACACAACCTATGAAATGCAGCTGACGTAGTTGTAAGAAAGAAGATTACAGCAATAAATGTCTATATCAAAAACAAAGATTTCAAATACCCAATCAAACATTATACTTCAAGGAACTAGAAAAAGATCTAACATCAGCAGAAGGAAGAAAGTAACAAATATTGAAACAGAAATACATAAAGACTAAGAAAATGATTTTTTAAATAAACAAAAATAAGAAGGCTTTTTTGACAAGATAAACAAACCCTTCATAGACAAAGAAAAAAAGAGCTTGCTCAAATAAATAAAAATGAAACATGAGAAATTAACTGATAGAAACCACAGAAATATACTCACCATAAGCGACTACTATGAACAATGCTACACCAATGGATTAGATAAGCTAAAAGAAATTAATACATTCCTAGACAGATTTAACATATCAAGACTCAATCAATCATGAGGGAACATAAAATACAAGTAGACCAATAATGAATAAGAAGAGTGAATCAGTAAGAAAAAGTCCCTGTCAAAGAAAAGTTCTGGACTGGATGAATTCTACCAGACGTTTAAAGAACGACTAATATTGATCACTTCTCAAACTCTTCCAAAAATCTAGAATACTTCCAAACTCATTTTAGAAGGCCAGTATTACCCTCATACCAAAGCTAGACACGGGCACTACAAGAAAAGCTTACAAACCAACATCCTTGGTGAACACAGATGTAAAAATTCTCAACAAAATATTAACAAACAAAATTCAACAACACATTAATATAATATTTTGTCATGATACAGTGGTATTTATCCATGGGATGCAAGGATGGTTTGACAAATACAAGTCAATAAATATGATACATCACATTAACAAAATAAAAAACAAAAGTCATATCATCATCTCAATAGATGCAGAAAAAGCATCTGACAAAATTCCATGGCATTTCATGATCAAATACTATCAAAAGATTAGGTATAGAAGGAATGTACCTAAACATAATAAAGAATATATAGGACAAGCCCAGGGCTAACATCATACTGAACAGTGAAAACCTGAAATCTTTTCTTTAAAGATCAGGGACATGACAAGAATGCTCACTCTCACTACTTCTTTTCCACACAGTACTGGAAGTCCTATTCAGAAAAATTAAGCAAGAGGAAGAAATAGAAGGCATTGTAATAGAAAAGGAAGAAGTTAGATTGTCTCTGCTTCTTGACAATATGATCTTATATGTAAAAATCCCAGACAGGTGTGGTGGGTCACACCTGTAATCCCAGAACTTTGAGAGGCTGAGGCTGGTGAATCACTTGAGGTCGGTAGTTCAAGACAAGCCTGACCTACATGGTGAGACCCCGTCTCTACCAAAAATACAAAAAAAAAATTAGCCAGGTGTGGTGATGCACCTGTAATCCCAGTTACAAACCCAGGAAGCAGAGGTTGCAGTAAGCCAAGATCACACCACTGCACACCAGCCTGGGTGACAGAGGGAGACTCCAACAACAAAAAACTTTTAGAACTGATAAGTGAATTCAGTAAAGGTGTAGGATACAAAATGAACATGTAAAAATCAGTACCATTTTTATGCATTAACATAGCCAAAACTAATGGTATTCAAAAAAAAATTAGAAAAACGATCCCATTTATAATAGCAACAACAACAAAAATACATATGTATAAATTTAACCAAGGATATGAAAGATCTGTATACTGAAAAGTATAAAGCACTGATAAACTAAAAAAAAAAAAAAAAAACAAATAAATGGAAAGATATTCTGTGTTAATTAAATGGGAGAAGTAACGTTAAAAAAAATCCTTATATTCATATGGAATAAAAGACCTTAAAGAACCAAAGCAATCTTAAACAAAAAGAACAAAGCTGAAGGAATCATACTATCTGACTTTATACTAAAAAGCTATAGCAATCAAAACAGCATGGTACTGGCATGAAAACAGACACGTCAACCTATAAAAAAAGACAAAGAATCCAAAATAAACCCACACATTTATGGACAATTGATTTTTTATGAAGATGCCAATAATATACAATGGGAAAAGAACAGATTCTTCAATAAATGCTGTTGGGAAAACAGGATATCTACATGCAGAACAGTAAGATTGAATCCTTATCTGCTACCATGAGGAAAAAACAATTCAGAACAGATTAAGGACTTAAATATTAAGACCTGGAGATGTAAGCCTACTAGAAGAAACTTAGGGACAAAGCTTCATTGGTCTGGGCATTGACTACAACCCGGAAAGCACAGGAAATAAAAGCAGTAACAGAAAAATGGGACTTCATCAAACAAAAGCTTCTGCATAGCAAAAGAAACAATTAATAGAGTAAAGGAAGAACCCAGAAACTGGGAGAAAAATCTGCAAACCATACATCTGATAAAGGTTTGCTATCCAAAATATCTAAGGAACTCAACTCAATAACAAGAAAACAACTCAATTTAAACATGGGCAAAAACATTTCTCAAAAGATGACAGATGTTCAACAGGTTCATGAAAAATGTAAATGCCCAACATGTATATAAATACATACTCAGCATCACTGATTAGTAGAGAAATGTAAATTAAATCCACAATGAGATATATGCATATATCTGTTAGAATGACCAGTCTCAAAAAGATGAAAGATAAGTGTTAGCAAAGATTTGGAGGAAAAGAAACACTGTTGGTAGGAATGAAAAGTAGTACAACCATTACGAAAAATGATATAGAAGTTCCTCAAAATTTTAAAAATATAACTGTCATATGATCTAGCAATTCTACTTCTGGGTATATGTCCAAAAAAAATGAAATCATGTTAAAGAGATATCTGCATTCCCATATTCATTGTAGTATTGGTCACAATAGACAAGATATTGAATCAGTATAAATGTCCATTAAGTAACGAATGGATAAAGGAAATATGGCATATATCCACAACAGCTTACTATCCTGCCTTACAAAAAGAAGGAAATTCTGTCATTTAGGACAACACAGTTGAACCTGGAACACATTATACAAAGTGAAATAAGCACATACTACAGGATTGCACTTAAATGTGGAATCTAAAAAAGTCAAACTCATAGAAGTAGAGAATAGTATGGTGGTTAGAGTAGAACAGTGGTTACAAAATGTGGGCGGAATAAAGTAGTGGTGGGTTTGCAATAAAAAGATGCTGTTCAAAGGGTACAAAATTTCTATTAGACAGGAGCAGTAAGTTCAATTCAAAAAGAAGAGATAAATACGTATTTCTGGGTGTGTGTTTATATATACACTAAAATTTGCATACTACTTCAGGGGATTCAGAAAACTCTAAGTCTTTTCATAAGCTCCAAGTGAAGAATCTCTATCCTACTGCAACATTTATCATGTTATTCTTTATAAAATGCTAAAAGCCGGCAACAAAACTAGTACAGCTTGAGCATCCCTAATCTGAATTCTCAAAATCTGAAATGCTCCAAAATTTAAAACGTTTTGAGCATTGACATGATACAAGTAGAAAATCCCACACCTGACCTCATGTGATTAAGTCACACAAAATTGTTAAAAATATTATATAAAATTACCTTCAGACTATGTGCATAAGGTATATGGGAAATGTAAATAAATTTCATATTTAGACTTGAGTCACATCCCCAGTATATATGTATGTGCAAATATTCCAGATCTGGAAAAAATCTGAAATTTGAAACACTTCTGGTACCAAACACTTTGAATAAAGGATAATCAACCTGTATTTTACTTTAGTCAATAGCTAGGCCAAATAAGAAAACTTTAATTAAAATATAAGGTCCCAAATTAAAACCTTCAAAAGCATCATATAAGAATGAAAGTCACCTTATTTTAACAGATAAATTAAAAATAATGTTACTTTAAGCATAATTACACTTAAAAATGTAACCTTCAAAAACTACTTATGTGTTACTGACAAACCTAACATTATTATTTTAAACTGAAACAACTTAAAACAAGTATCGTGTACTTATACTTGATTTGGCTATCATTTCAAACACATATATTGATAACCTTAAGTTATCCAAAAGATAAATTATGCAAGAAGCTGGTGAAAAATAGTTATTTGCGATTATGAAACATATGCAGAAATTGGTAGGAAGGAAAAAAAACTGGATGCCTTAACTCATAATCTGGATTTTAAACATAAGCTATACATATCTATCTTCACAGAAACATATTACAATTTAAGTTGACCATGCTAGACATATGTATTTTAATAATAAAATATTAGTTGCCTCTAACACAAATTTTCCATATTCTTATCAAAAAGATTGTTCTCTTACCTATACTTAGGAAGATTTCATTTATCAAAGCTTCATTCACTGCAGAAGAGCTGACATTTCCAATATGAGACCAACTTTGATATATTGCTTGCAAGAGAAGTGTCTGTGCTCTTGTAGCTTGAACTGTGAGGTTAGGAAGTTCAAATATACCTTCAGTTATAGCAATCTGAGATCTTTTGGTCCTGAACAAGAAAACAGAAAGAATCACAATACAGTAAACAGCATTTACAGACAACAAAATACTAAATGACTTAGGTTGCAAAAGCAGAAAGGGAATATATCCAAAGTATTTTAAAATTCGATTAAACAAAATAGGCAATTCTGCTACCTTTGTGTTTCACTATTTCAAAAATTTTGAGAAATAAAATATAAAAATACAAACTAGAATGATGCCCATACACACATATTCTGCTCAAGCAACTACTGTATAATCAAGGCAGTTATCATAAGTAAAAATAAAAATGGTGCTTGTTAACTCTTAGAGAAGATTTACTAGAAACCCTGTATTACTCTAGATTTCTTATAGTAACACGTTAAATTCTGCCATAATAACTCTATGAGAGAAGTACTATCATTATACTAGTTTTTCAAATGGGAAAACCAAGACATACACAGATATATTAAGGTATCAAATGTCACACTAGTGACATTTAATTAGAAATTAAATCCAGGCAAGCTGATCCAGAGACCTCTTTCCTAAAACTTTTTCTCAGAAGTATTTATGAAATATTTACATTATACTCAGGACTCTATTTGATAGTAAATGGCAAATTTTTTTTTTAATTTCTGCCCTGGAATATCTAATTTGTTGATTCCTTATTCATTTTGAATAAAGTGAACTATGTAGTTAAATTTTCTAAATAACAACTCCTCAAAGCAAGGAAAGATTTCAATATGTCTATAAGCAACAAGTTTATACTGAAGTGCAAGCAAGATAAAATAGAAGAACAAAAAAAAAAGATAGATATAAAAAAAAATCAGGATGCTACTATAGTAGACTGTCACCTGCTCTTTCCTCAACCCCACAAACCTTCCACCATTTGTCAGTTACACCATAACTGTAACCACACATGGAGAGTATAAAACATCTCTTGTATATCACCTAAAAAGCTTCTCACCCTACCTCTTATTCTGGCCAATTCAATGTAAACTTTCACTTGCATTACCTAAAGACACCATGCATCATGAGACACCAGCAAACTACTTTGCATTCACACATACAGAACATGGAAATGCAAGAATAAATGCTTCCCTCTTTTCTCCCACTTGCTGACTATTCTCCGAGAAGGTCCCAGGAAATTGAGGACTAAGAAAGATAAAAGACTAAAATAACTGAACAAAGCTTTAATGAGATGTGGGACACTATCAAGCAATTTGAAGAAAACTATAAACCCAAATATCTAAGTTCAACAAACCCCAAGCAGACAAGAATTAAAAACATACCAAGGCACATTAAAATCAAATTTCTGAAAACTAGTGTTAAAGAGAAAAATACATCACATATAAAGAAACAAAAGCTAGAAAATAAAGACTCCTCACCAGAAATCATATACAACAGAAAACAACAGAATAACATGATTGAAATGCTGAAAGAAAAAAGAAAAACTGTCAGCCTAGAATCCAAAATTCAGAAAAAAAATCTTTTAAAAATGTAAGCAAAAGAGCCTTTTTATGACTAAACACTGGGAAAAATTCCCGACCAGCATATCTATAATACAAAAAATGTTAAAGAAAATTCTTCAGGCTAAATGAATGTGATGCCAGATGAAAATATTTGTGTCTCTATATAAAGAAATTTGAAGAGTGCTGGGAATGGTAAATATATGGGTGAAAGGAAGAAAGAAGAAAGAAGCAGAAGAAGAGCACTCTCATTAACAAGATTAAATAATTAACTGTTTAAAGCAAAAATCATAACAACATAGTTCAGAGTTTACAACACATGGAAAAGTAGAATTCATAATGCCAATAGCAAAGGACAGAAAAAGGAAAATGGAGGTTCTCACACAATGTGTGACATGGTATAACATTATTTGAAGGTAGCTGTGATAAGTAAAAGATGTAAACTGTAAACCTTAGAATACCTAAATCCATAAAACCAACAGGTAAAACTAATAAAGGCAATAGTGGAGATAATGGAATAAGAATGGAATGGTGAGGATGAAACAAACTCAATCTAAATAAAGTTAGGAAAAGAAAACAAAACAACAGATGGGACAATTAGAAACCCACAGCAAAATACTAGAACTAAACCCCAAAATATAAATATTAAGTCTCAAATGTCTAAGCATATCAATTAAAGGAAGAGATGCTCAGATTATATTTAACAAAAAATCCAAGATCCAACTATATATCCACTTTAAATATAAAGAAGACAGATAGGCTAAAAATAAAGGAGATAAGGTCATGAAGGAGTAAAGGAATGAGCACAAGAAACACCACATAACTCTAATTAAAAAAGAGCAATGCATTACTAAATATTAAATATATTAAACTTCAGAACACAGACTATTACCATAGATACAGAGAGATTTTTTTGATAATGACAACATGGTTAATTAAGTTTGTAGGCATTACAGATCTTCAAAATACATAAATTTTTTTAAATAGAGAACTGAAAAGAGGAACAGGCAAATCCAAAAACTAAAGGTTGACACTCTTCTCTCAGGAATTGATAAAACATATAGAATGTAAGTAAATAATTAAAAACAAAAACACCACCATCAATCAACTTGGCCTTATTGACATTTGTAGAACACCCACCCAACAATAGCAGAATACACATTCACAAGGCATACTATAAGAACATAAAAGCAAGTCTCGTAAAAGGAAAAAGGCTGAAATCATACACAGTATAGGTGCTGATCACAATGCATTTAAACTATAAATTAATACCATAAGGTTATGTATAAATCTCCAAATATCTAGAAGTTCAACAAATAAAATATAACTCAAATTAGTCAGAAAGAAGGTAGATAAAATTTAGAAATCTACATAAAAATAACAATTTTGAAAAATTATAAAATGATTTTAGAAAAAGATACTGATATCAGTATCAGGAAAGGGCAATATACAATATACATAATCAGTGTTCCTAAACAGAAAAACAAATAGAAAAGGGACAGTATACAGAAATATTTACCAAAAAAATTCTATGTAAAATAAATGCCTAAACTACAAAGTGCACAATGTGTCATATACAAAAATGATTCTGAATGATCATTATCCCAGTAAAGCCACTGAATGCCAAAAGACACAGAAAACATTCTGCAGGCATTCAAACAGATAAAGCAATGTGCAGTTACCAAGAATTCTCCAGAATTTCTCAGACTTTCTACTATCCTTCCTACCCTATCTACTATAGTCTAGCATATATAGTCAATTTACGTGCACAATTCATCTATAAAAGAATATAAGGCAATTTCAAGCTGTAACCTGATATACTGACATATTAATAGTGTCAAGTAATGGGCTACCTTTGTAAATTCCAGACATGCTTTAATTTCTGTCATCTTTCATGTCAATGAGCTCCTTATGTAGCCACTGTTATAGTAGGCAAAGTCCTATTTGTTATAAAGCTAATATCCTTCAAAGCCAAGATTCAGTTTTTACTTTGTAGTTTCTAGGTCCACTAATAAATGAGCTGTAATGTCCTTCCTATTATTTAACTACTGAGGTGTCAGATGAGGCCTAGTTAACTTCATGCTTCATGTTGAAGCTGTTCTCTAAAAAATCAATCAGTTGAGTAAATATTTATTAATTGCCTACTCTGTAAGCAGTTATATTCTGGCTACTTAGGAAACAGCCATTTTAAGATTCCAATGAACAAACCAAAAAAATTAAAATCCTTGTCCTCAAAGAGTTTACATTCTAGTGGGGAGTAGAGGAAGACAAAAATCAATAAATATACGAAAGTTATAAGAGAAAAACTACTAGAAATAGAAAAAGTAGAACATAACCAGCTTGGTCAACATGGGAAACCCCATCTCTATTGAAAATACAAAAAATTAGCTGGGAATAGTGGTAGGTGCCTGTAGTCCCAGCTACTCGGAGGCTGAGATGGGAGAATGGCTTGACCCCGGGGTGGAGGTTGCAGTGAGCCAAATTCACACCCCTGTACACCAGCCTGAGCGTCAGAGTGAAACTCCATCCCCCCCCCCCCCAAAAAAAAAAAAAGTGGAACATAAGTGGAATGAGACTGCTTTAGAGTGATCAATTTTATATATAGTAGGTAGGCTTTATTATAAAGATAGATCTTATTAAATTGAAGCTTGAGCAGTCTTGAAGGAGGTAAGAGACAGCTACTTGGGTATCTCTAGAAAGTATTTCAGGCAGATGTAAGTTTATGAACAAAGGCCCTGAGGTAGAACTGAGCATGGCAAGTGCAAGCAAGGGCAAGGAAGCTAGTGTGACTATAGTCATTTGAGAGCAAATTCACAAATTCAGTTGATTTCCTGTGGCTTTTATCTATAAGAAATATTTAAATAGGCTTTACATGGCCATTCAACTGAGATTTAATCCACGTCTGACTGCAGGGGGCTTGATTTCCCACATTTATTTGTATTTTTAAATTTCTTATCTGTAGCCCTACTTTCAAAGATTTTCATTTAAGGTAGGATACAAAATTTTAAAAATCTAAGTTCTAATTCTGGCTTAATTATTCGTTTTGTGTTTGTAGGGGAAAATTACATAACTTTTCAAAGCTTAACTTTCCTATTTAAAAAATAGGAAGAATAACCCTGCTCAATCTACCACAATCAACTTTAGTGAAAAATCAATTGTATTTAATATTTAAAGCGTCACAGATGCAATATTCTGTCCTAGGATCTGAGGAGACAGGCACCATCTTTAATTTTTTTAATTTTTTTTTTTTAGACAAACTTTCACTCTTTCGCCCAGGTTGGAGTGCAGGGGCACAATCTTGGCTCACTATAACCTTCACCTTCTCCTAGGTTCCAGTGACTCTCCTTCCTCAGCCACTCAAATACCTGGGATTTCTGGTATCTGTCACCACGTCCAGGTAATTTTTGCAATTTTAATAGACACAGAATTTCATCACGTTGGCCAGGCTGGTCTTGAATTCCTGAGCTCAGATGATCCTTGGTCTCACAAAGTGATGGGATTACGGATATGAGCCACTGTGCCTGGCCACCATCTTTACACTCAAAGAATTCAGAATCTAGGA